GGCGTTGGCTACGGGTAGGGTCAGAGATTTGACTCGGCCATTCCACCAAGTCAAGGCTTTATCAACGAAGGTACATGTTACAAATTTGACCTTATCAGATTCCGCACAGGCACAAATTTCGAAGATGGATTCGATTTTCTCGAACCATCAGGATAGGGAAATGACACCTCCAGTGCCATTGAAGGATGTTGGTTTCACGTTCATGAAATCTTTATAGAAACCATCCTTTCGGTGTCCCTGACTGTCTTCGGGGTTCTGGGGCTGGGGACCACCTCCTAAGCCACCAGGATTCACTTGTGACATGGCTGCCACCATTGCAGCAGTCAGAACTATCTGGAGCGATGCAAGGTTAAATTGAGGAGGAGGTGGTGGAGAAGAAGGATTGTTGTTGTTCTTTGAGCTGGGTCTCTTTCTGGGAGGCATCTTGATCTAATAAGATCAAGAAAGAGAGAGGATGGTAAGTCCTCTACATTGAATCGATAGATATGGTAGTTATATGTTCCGAATAAGCGATAAAGCAGGAAAGAGTTATCAAAACAAATAATTTATCGCTAAGAATGATCACAGAACGCCACTCGAATGAGGATTTATACAGAGGATCGGGTCGAGAAATACTCCCATAGTAATTCATGATTTGCTTACGACAATGGTTCGATGTTTGTGGTATTAAGGTAAGTTTTAGGCATGTCGCACACCACAATCACTCCCAAGCACATGTTGGTCGTGTCTCGAATGAATATAGTTGGCCAGGCTATATTGTCCCTAGACACGACTACATAACTGCCCAGGTTTAACCGTAGTACATAACACTCAATTACTTATGTTCTGTTCTATTTGAAGTTACGGATCACGATGATTCGGTATACTTGTATACTTTTGAAAATACTTGTAGTTTGAAGATACTTTTAATTCAGAGCACTTAGGCCCTTTAGTGTTTATAGTTTTATACCATGTAAGGTTTGGTATACTTTTAATTTCCGGGGTTGACTCCACGTTGAGTATCAAATCCAATGCACATAGTAAGTAAAGTAAAACAACCATTACATTACATAAATAAAAGTTTTACAGTTGTTTTAAAAGTAAAGTTTGTACAGTTGTGATACATAGTATATATATATATATATATATATATATATATATATATATATATATATATATATATATATATATATATATATATATATATGAACAAAATGAAACGAGTCTTCTGAGTACTCCGTCTTCGACCAAAAAGATCTTCGGGTACCTGTTCTAACGCTGACCTGAGAACACAAGCGGTTTGAAAATCAGCATAACGCTGGTGAGTTCATAAGCGGTTTTTGTTTGTGAAAATGTTCAGGTTTCCTTTCTGTTTCTGAAATGTTATGCACACCAAGAAAATCCCATATTTTCTTAAAAAGGTTGGTTATCGTTTGTCAACATGTAAAGTAAAGTTGTACACTGAAAAACATGTTTTCTCTTGCAAAGATGTATAGTTAGGTTATCTGGATTGACATACTGTTTTGGTTTTGTACCAATGTATTCCCAGGAAAGTCCCATACTTTCCTAATTGTGTTACCAATTGTGAAAGATGTAAACTTATCCGATTTGTTATTCTTTCTGTTTATGTAAACGTTTTCCCCAGGAAAGTCCCATACTTTCCTGAATGTTTGTTACCGTATGTAAAAGATGTATTCCTGTTAGACCTGGTTATGTACAAGGTTTCCCAGGAACGTCCCATACTTTCCTGAATGTTGGTTACCGTATGTGAAAGATGTATTCCTGTTAGACCTGGTTATCTTGTGAATTGTATAAAGTTGTTCATTATTACCATAAGTAAATCTCTGTTATCCTAATTGCAAGTTCCATAACCATACGATGGACTAAACCTGTGGCAATAGGTAGTCCACATACTTATGTCTTTCGTCACACTTGAACCATTTTGGTTCGGCTGTAGCTAGCAGCCAGGTGTGGGGTAGTCAACCCCGTATAGATCTATACACTCAAGTCACGCTCTCTAAATCCTAGAGATTCTGGTTACGGGTGTAGTCCTCCACTCGCGTATCTCTGTGGAGTGTTCGCCGAGGACGTGTCTTCAATCAAACATGATTAACAAATTTACTAGTAATAATATGATAGTCGTCCACTAACGTATTTATGTGGAGTGTTACCGAGGACAAAACAATGTACATGTTTATTGTTCAAATGTTCTGATGCCATGCTTTTAACTGATAAAATGTAGAAAACCATTTGTGAAATATATGTAAAACATAACAGTTTAAAATCCATTTCACAAATATATGTTTACGTGATCTGCGTGTTCAAACGGTTATTAGTTGTAGTAATCAGTGTTAAAAGCATAGAAAATGTGAAACACACACATGAAAACATGTTTTTAAGTACAAGTAATCCTTTGTACTTTGCTTGTGTTCCCCCCTGAAAACAGTGAAAACAGTGAAAAAGGGTAGGGGTATGAACTCACCAGCGTTATGCTGATTTTCAAACCGCTTGTGCTCTCAGGTCAGCGTTAGAACAGGTACCCGAAGATCTTTTTGCTCGAAGACGGAGTACTCAGAAGACTCGTTTCATTTTGTTCATATATATATATATATATATGTATATATATATATATATATATATATATATATATATATACATACATACTATGTATCACAACTGTACAAACTTTACTTTTGAAACAACTGTAAAACTTTTATTTATGTAATGTAATGGTTGTTTTACTTTACTTACTATGTGCATTGGATTTGATACTCAATGTGGAGTCAACCCCGAAAATGTTTCCGCCTTCGGTTTTCGGGGTGTGACACTATGGCCAAATTTCATACCTCTTATCTCTCTCTCTCTCTCTCTCTCTCTCTCTCTCTCTTGTCTCTCCATTTGCTCTTGGTGTTTGTGAGCCATTAGAGGTACTACACTTGTTGTACTTGCTTTCAAAGACAAGAAGATTCATGATTTACGTTGTTATTACAATATAAGAACAAGAGGTATGTATTTCATCTTTCCCTGTGGATTTCAAAATTTCTAGAAGCCTTTTAGGGTTCTTCAAGTGTTCATATTGTTGTATAACTAATAGTGATAACATAGATCCAACTCTAGGGTTGCATACACACATAAGATTGTTTGTATAAAACCAATCACTTTCATCTTACACACAGATATGAAGTATTTTATATAAATTATGTGTTATCTGTGCATATTATTTGAATACTTGCTGTCTATGCTGGATGAATGATTTTATACATGTTTTAAAAGATTTTAACGGTGTATTTATTTTATATCTACAAATATGATGCGGATGAAACATGGTTGATGAAATAGTTGGTGTGTGATGAAATAAAATGATGAGAGATAGGTGATGATAGAAAGGTGATGATAATTAGGTAAATGGATGATGATGAATAGGTGATGTAGGATGAAAGGAGATACCATAACCTTAACCGAAAATGTGGCGATGTAGTAATCTACCAGAGTATAGATGGCGATCACGGACTATTGTAGACAACCCCGTGGAAACACCAGCAGGCCCATAACCTGTAGGTGATGAATTACGAGTTCACGCGATATTTTAACTACGTATTCATGCGATGATACCCTAACCCCTTACTATGAATTATGACTTCTGGCGATGTTGTAACTACGTATTAATGCGATGATGCCCTAACCCTTGTTGGGCACGTATTGAGGGAGTAATCCCTGAATCAATACTGTCTATGCGATATAGGAGATGATCCTTAAGGAGAGTCCTTAGGAACAAACATATATGGAAATGCGATGTAAGGAGATGAGAGGTAAATATGATGTAGGAGATGATCCTTAGGATAAATCCTTAGGGAAGGTACTTAGGAATAAAGAAGATAATGGAGATGAGTAATTGGGTTAATTGTGTGATGATTAAACATAATAATTATATTATTGTGGGTTGAAAACCCTATGTACTCACCAGGTTTCCCAACCTGACCCACTCAGTTTACTTGTATTACAGGTGACGAGGTGAAGTTACATTACACTGAGAGATTAAGGAGATATAAATCACTAGTGTAAATGAATGTATGTTCTGTTTATGCTTATGTTTCTGTATTGACGATGACATCCCAAATGTTTTAAAATGAATAAAAATAATTTCTTCGGAAATGCTTTGATAATGAAATTATCATGTTTTTCTGGGAACAAATTCCACAACGTTTTTATTAAAAGAGATACTCTGATTTTTATAAAGCATAAACAAAATCGGTCTTTTCTGGCCGTGAAAATGGGGATGTCACACCCGAACATGACTTCGAGCCCACAAGAATCATGATACAGTCACTTGCAGCAAACTTCCTACTCAATGATGTCTTTCAGAAAGACTCCTGAATTCTCAAGCTTATTAGTTGGCCTAATATCATCATGTGTATCTGGATCATAGACAATGATTTTTTTATTGAAAACTGTTGAGAACTATTTTGAGTTTTGAATTATAAGATATAAATATCAATGTTTTATCGTATAACAACTCAACTTTCAGGGGAAGCAATATTAACAGGTTTCTATCTATGAGTTTAAATGTTGCGATTTTCTTAGGACATCACCTAAAAATGGATTTTTTTGGCAATTTAGGACATCACCCAAAATCCTCATAAATTCATCAAAACCTCTCATAAATTCCTCATAATTCATGCTTAATTCTTAAGTCTTCCACCCATCCACTTTGCTACCTGATGGACCATTTGGGATTATGTTAACATATGAATTGAGTATTCCATCCATCATTGGAATCCTATGGAGAAAGATCAAGATTCTATTAAATTTGGGGAAATGGTCTCAAGGAACACCCTTTTGTCTTCTATTTTTATGATTTATTATTTTTTTGTGACATCTAAATAGACTTATGGAAAAAAATGGCTAATGTTATAAGGAGTTTATGGTTGTATTGCATAAAATATGAGTTAAATAAAGGATAAAACCTTTAATCCGGATCTATAAGACTTGATTTATGTTTTACGATAACAAATTTGGAGTAGTGAGAGTACAACTTACATGAAGATGGAAATCAACATCTACAGTTCAGTACCGATTATGAAGTTGGAGTAGAAGTCATTGTGAAAAATTGCAAGAAACAAAACCTGTAGATGTAAAACAATAACTATTTGTTTTTAATCAACAATGCATTATTAAAACCCCTAATTAAGCAAACACAAAAGGGTTAAGCAAGGATACATTATTAAAAAAACTTCTAATTAAGAAAACACCAACACGTTAAGCAGGGAATCGAATGAAAAAAAACATCACCAAAAGAAGTTGTAGAACCACCTTATGATTAAACAACATGTCCAAACAATTTGGCACTTATGTTTTCTCATGTTTCAAATTTGAGGCCATTGTGATCAAAACCGTAACATCCCCACCTAGGTTTTGTACAATCAGATGACCCCTAAATGAATAAGATATAAGGATACAGAAATTGAAAAATGAGAAGAAGAGAGTGACGTGTAGTGGAAAAGAAAGAGAAGGAGAGACAGAATCGTTATGAAGGAGAGTGAAGTAACAGGCTAAGGGAAGGTGGAGGTGGAATTGAGCATCAATGGGTGATTGATTATGCACAATCTTCCTTATTGTCTTATTCTTAGAAGAATGAAAAGATGTTAATCTTATGAGAATTTATTCATACCAGGGAAATAAGATGATTTTGAGGCAGTGATTTTTGAGAGAGAACGAGGAGGAAAGGAGAGATAATTAAGAAGGTATAAATGGTGGTATCTTGGGGAAGAAGCCTAATGGTAAATTTAAAGGGTTTCTTGGTAACTGGGGCATCGGTAGTGGTGGAGGACACGCTTTCATAAACGTCTGCAGCAGCCACATGTTTAGCTCTATGGAAGAGATGTATTGGTGGAAAAGAGAGTGCATCCTAGATTAAACTTCACGGAAGACGTGAGGCTCTTTTTCAAGTGCCAAGAAAAGCCCAAGTAAAATATACGTCGATTTAAGAAGGAAAATTCAAAAAAAAATTCAATCAAAATTGTACAAAAATCCCTACAAAATTATTTATTGAATTGTGAATCCTCCACTGTCTCTCTTTTTTTTTTGCTGATATGGAGGCTGCCCACATGTCAACCTCTAAACATCCTCTGATTTTAAATGGAGGGTTCTCAAGCAATGAGGTATATATATATATAACGTGAATACTCCACTGTCTCCACTTATCTCAATTTTAAGCCATGATGACTAACTTTTTATATATATATATATATATATATATATATATATATATATATATATATATATATATATATATATATATATATGAATGAGTAGGATCAAATGAGAACGTTTAAAAAGTTGAAAACGCGAGAACAGATCTGAACTATCTAAATACTAAGATCTATGGTTACTATTAAATGGGGGATTTATGAAAAATTCTAAAAGTATTGGCATTTAAGTGTAACATTTGAATGGTTATAAGGGCATAATAGGAATTGCATTTTTACATGATTCCTATAATTCTCACCCTCACCTCTTACCTTTCTTATTCTCGTATCTATATTCTCTCTCTCTCTCTCTCTCTCTCTCTAGGGTTTCATAAGATGCATCTACTGTGACAACCATAGTCGACCTTCCCCTGGTTTAAACAACATCACTTGCAAGAGGATTCAGAGAAAGAGAAAGAAAGATCGAGAATGCAAAACATCCGCTAATTTAGGTTGTTAGTGGCGAATAACACAATAGGATTTAAAGAGATATTGAGAAGGGGAAGTAAAATTTATTTTGTGTTCCCCCATTTGTGCGTTGTTGATGACGACGATTAAGCCACAAGGGTCGCCGGAGAATCGACGCCCTTCTTGTCGCCCTATTGCTACCGTCGCTGGTGAGCCTTCACACTCTCTGCCCCTTTGACTTCCACCATCGCCAATTCCATCGAAGGCCAATAGACCGCCTCGATTTCTCGTAATTCCCAGGACTTGCAATCCCGATTCAGGGCTTGAAGAATGACTGCAAAAATCACGATTGGTAATCGCAATCCGGGGCATTTTTGGTACTTTTCTTTTTCTAAACATGTCTGGTCCTACTGTGTTATTCGCCACTAACAATATCTCTTTGATCCTACCAAGTCCGAACCCGAACACAGATAGGTTGAACGTTGAAGATAGAAGAGGGGTTTTTAATTTTTACGATTTGTTGTGAATCGATTATCGAAGTAGAATGAGCGGCTCTGGAACTGTAGATTTCTTCTATAGAGAAGCTCAGCGACTTGGTTATGTTGCTCGCTCGGCCTTCAAGGTAATATACTAGTTAGGTTTCATTTTTTCACAATTTGAAGATTAAAACTGGTATATTATATTTATATTCGGATGAACTCTAATTTAACCAAAATATGATATGAGTATCACCATTACAATTTCATTACTTTTTGTTTAATTATGGTTGGAACTTGGAAGTGCAGCTACTCCAGATTTAGAAACAGTACAAATTGATAATACCTCGTTCCTCTGTTGTTGACCTAGGTTGTGCTCCTGGTGCTTGGCTTCATGTCTCCTTCTTTTGATCTTTCCGATGGCTTTATTGGTTGGTTGGATCAGAATCATATGGCGAAAAAGGGAAGAATTAATTGTATAAGGCGAGATCGATATGGGGATTTTTTGACTGAAGGGTATTTTGGGAATAAGGTTAAGAATTCTATGGCGGTGGTTGTGGGTTGGTTCTTGTTGACTCAGATTATCCGACATAGATTCAAGAAGATGGGTGGGTTCATAAGGATTAAAGATTTTTTTAACTGTACAGGGAGGAAAAAGAGCGAGGACATTTTTGGAATATATAAGTTTTTTGATGAATTCTACACCTGGTTAGATATGCGAGGTGATAGGATTGAAGAGTTTCTTATGTGGCATGCCTTAAATGAAGTTCTTTTTTATTATTTTGTTAATTCTTGGAAGCAGGGGCTTTGTGGTCATTCTACTATGAACTTATTCATGTGTATTCATTTATGAATAACGTTCTAGTTATGTGTGAATGGTTGTATTCATTTATGAATAACATCTGTATTCATTTATGATAGAATGTGTATTAATTTATAAATAACAATCTATTCATTTGTAAATTGCAATGTATTCGTGCGTGAATGATTGTATTTATTTATGGATAGTAGTGTATTCATGTGAATGAGTGTATTTATTTATAATTAGAGGTATTCATTTTATGAAAAAATGATAATTTTTATACTATTTTTTATTTTCAATTTATGAAAAATGCATTGAATTATTTGTAATTTGATGTGTTTTCATTTATGATTGGAAGTGTATTGAGTTGGGATTGGATTTCTATTCATTTTTTTTTTTGAAAAATAAAAACGTGAAATAGTAGAAAATAATATTTTTTTTTAAGATTTTCTTTTCAGATTTAAAATAAAAGGAAATATTAATTTTTTTGATAATTTTTTTGAAATGGTCATAAATAATTTTTTGAAAAAATCATAAAAAAAAATATTTATATATATTTCATTAAATAAAAAGAAATATTAATTTTGTTAGGTAATTAAAATCATTATCCCTAGATTTTAGGAAATCATTAATTAATATTTATATAAAGTTACTAATATACCCTTATAAAATGATTGGTCTAGAACTGTTCTCGCGTTCTTAACCTTTTAGGCGTTCTCATTTGATCATCTCCCTATATATATATATATATATATATATATATATATATATATATATATATATATATATATATATATATATATATATATATATATATATATATATATATATATATATATATAGAAACCAAAAATTGGTAGGAACCGCGATGACTAATATTGACAAATCAACCTCATTAAAGGTTATTTCGTCTAAACCTAAATCTAAAAGAGTTGGGGCTTATTAACGCGCGTTCTTCATAAGGTGATACCATCGGATTCTTCTTCACGTAAACAGACGCCATATCCATAACGAAAATCAAATTTCAAGCTTCTTCTGAGTTCGATTCAAAGTACATTTAACAATTGGTTAATAGATCATGTTAGATTTACTAAATTAAATCTATTTTAGATACATTGATTGAATAATTGGGTTGATTTCGAAAACACATCTGTGTTTTCGTATCAAATATCTACTTTAATTCACATAAAAATATCGCTTTTTCTTTTTCAAATCATTATTTCACTCATGATATTTGAGTTTAATGAAGTGAATTTATGATTGAAAAATTAGATTGACAATAGAAAATTTATGTGCACTCTATTTACGAATTTTTGGTTAAAAATCCGAATTTTTAAATTGTAATCTTATGTTATCTAATCGAATGTCAATAATGAGTTTACTAAAACAATAATTGAAATAGGATTCAATTGATTAGAATAGAATTGATAGAATTTTTGTGTTTAATCTTCATATAAAAACCTAAAAAAGCAAAGTTTTTGATCTGTATTGAAATTTGTTACTTTAAAGTCTAAATTTTTGATCATATCTTCATGATATGTGGATTAATGTACTTAATCTTATTAGTTTTGATAATTTGTTAAAAGTTTGATTAAAAGAATTGTTATGGATCATATGTTGATTATTGAATTCTTTTGATTAACTATACTTAGAGAATGAACTAAAATTTGCTCAATGTTGGCTTTTTTCCGTCTAATATAGAAAATTTGTTTACTAAGCTGATTTTATAACTAAACGAACAATGATGGATCAAGATTCTAAAGAAACCAAATCTCCAATAGATGTTGATTAACGAACTATTCCAAAGAAAAGAAGAAGAATTGAATTAGAAAGTTGTAATCATAGTATGATGCGAAAATATTATTTTTCATTTAAATACTTATATGTCGTTGGATCAAGATTCTGAAGAAACCAAATCTCCAATAGATGTTGATTAACGAACTATTCCAAAGAAAAGAAGAAAAATTGAATCAGAAAGTTGTAATCATAGTATGATGCGAAAATATTATTTTTCATTTAAATACTTATATGTCGTTAATAGTAATTTTATGTTATTTCATGTAATATTTATGGATCATACAACATTTACATTATTATATTGATTTTTTAGAGTAAATTTACACGAAAGTTCCCTATGGTTTGGGGTAATTTACGCTTTTGATCCCTAACTTATTTTTTTAATACGGAAGTCCCTACTGTTTGTATTTGTTACGCGTTTGGTCCATAATATTTGTTTTTGTTATGCGCTTGGTCTCTGTCTTACATAAAAAGGCTATTATTTAAATATGAAAAATAGAAATGTAGGTAAGATAAGGTGATGGGAGTGGGGTTGGCGGTGTTTTTATTTAAGTAAATTAAAAAATCAAGGGTAAAATAGTCTTTTTCGGTAAGACAGGGACAAAGCGCGTAATATAAACAAATAATAGCTACCTTCCGAGTTAAAAAAATAAGTTAAGAACCAAACGTGAAAATTACCCTAAACCATAGGGACCGTTTGTGTAATTTACTCGATTTATAAACATAAAAAATTTGATCTTCATCATCATCTATATCTGTTATAATTGATAAAAAACCAAATGGAAAAACATATTATACTCCAATTGTTGATAATGCACCATATGAAAAGCAAACTTTTCCAATATTTGATGATGCCTTAGCTTTTTTCAAAGAGCATGGAAGAAGGTGTGGTTTTGAAACAAGGTTAGCAACTACAAAGAAATTACCTGGAGCTGAAGGATATGAGAAAAGATGTATATTGTGCAATAAGAAAGGATTTAAAATGAAAGCTAACATATGATACATTCAAAGATCAAAATAAACAAAAATGGAGAAGACTGTCACACCCCCAAACCAGAACGGCGGAATCGTTCGGAGGCGGATGATTTCATGTAGTATCATAACAATTGAGTATTTGTAAAAAACGTAAAAACAACAATCATAAATATAATTTAAAAGTTTCATTATTGAATGTAAGACATGTTTCAAAATAAATTACAATATGATGATTTAATAAGTTTTGAAACTGACGTCTTAGCGTCCCTTTTCCAAAAGCTGGTGTTTACTTGTATTACTGAATCCCTAAGAAATACAAGTAGTTTTGAAAAACTGTCAACAATTAAGTTGGTGAGTTCATAAGCATTTTTGTATAGGAATAGTATGCCTTTTAGTATAAAGAAATTCGAGTTTGTTTCTAGAAAATCCAGTATTTTCCATAATTGAGTGGTGGTTTTAAAAGTTCCAAAAACCGGAATGCGTAAGTGTTTTCTATACCTAAAATAGTATAAGTATATATATATATATATATATATATATATATATATATATATATATATATATATATATAATCACTAAGGCGTTTAATAGCCCCGTAAACCAAGATGTATTAATACTCCATGTAAGTTTTTATAACCGTGCTATTGACCCAGACTGCCTGTAACAACGTTCTTCAGGCGTTGCAATGATATGACATTTTTCACCCCATACCTGTCGGTCTAACTGTAGCTAACAGTTTAGGTGTGGGATTGTCAATCCCATATAGATCTATACATAAAAATCACACTCTCACTATGGGAGATTATGGTTTATAACACAGGACTTGAAATGTGTACTCGAAAGTACGTGAAGTAAATGTCTCACAAAAGTTAGTGTTAAATAGATTTGCGTATGAAATGTCCATTTTTCTTGTGAATATAAGTATTTCCTCTTTTGTTTATAATATGTAAAACTATCATGAGTATCTCGTAAACTATACCCATTATAGTTTTCAAAAGTGTTTCCGTTAGGATGAAAAACTTTGGTGTATTACCAACTTTGCATTTAAGTAGTCTATAACGTTAGTAGTAATGCTATTTTACCTATTTATCATTTATACATAAGATGTACGTAACACATTAGAACTTATATGTAATGATTTGTATTTTAGCATAAGTTTTTCTTGCGTTTCACTTGTATTTCCCCCCTAAAACATAGAAAATACATGAAAATATAGGGGTATGAACTCACCTGGAAAGTGTGATGATTTGAAGAAAACGAGACTTTGTCACACCCCAAAATCAGAACGGCGGAATTTTTCGGGGGTGGATGACTTCATGTAG